GAGCCGTGGTGCTTACTACTACTACTACTACTACCACTACTACTACTACTATTCCTACTATTCCTCCGCCTCCTTTCCCTCCTCCTGCCGCTGCTGCTGCCTTTCTTGTTTACATTCTGATTATTCTCATTAGCTTCGTTACAGACGGTTGCAGTACTGTTAGTGCTTTATGAATATTACTGCTATGAGTGGTACCTGTAGCTGCTCTGCATGCCGTCCAGGAAGCTAGCAGCCAAAGTCGCGGGCAATGAATCCATGTGGGCTGCCTGGCTCGCTGGGAGCCTCAAGTAGTGGCGGGTTTAAGGTGTAGGGTAGTCTGGGGTGGCAGTAGGTAGCTCGGAAATCGGCAGGAAGACACGCCGCATAGAGCTCCCCAGCAGGAATTACAAGTAATATTACCTTGCATAATCCCTTCAGTACTTCAGTGCTTAAGGTTGGGGTCACATGGCATTTTGTTACTGCTTTTGTTGCACCTACTAATGCCTACATAAAGGTTTTCTGGAGGTGTGCCTCAGAATTCGGGGTCCTTCTTTTGGGTGGGGGTTTTTCGTCCGGGCAACAAAGATGGACCTTACAAACTTGCGGCACTTCCCGGTTGCACACTGACCTTCAATCCCAAACCCAAAACCCCAAACTCCCATCCCTGAGCTGGAAACCTAGGTTTCATCTAGGTTTCGCCCAGGATTGAGGGTTGCTTAAGAGCAGACCAATTCTGGAGAGATCAGGAGAGTATTGAAGAAGTGTTTCTGGATTTTTTTGGGGCTCTGAGGTGGCAAAGAAGGACTACCTGGCAATGGGCGATGGGATATTTTTCTTGTCTGTGCCCGAGCTTGCCGAGATTCGCAGCTTGGAGGTCCCACTCATTCAGCGCGCACTCATGGAAGTGCCGGTTTTTCACGAGCGGAAGGTGGAAATCAGGAATTTTCTGGCCGTGACGTCCATGGATCCGCCTCGCATATATGCATGCAGGAATGGCATCTACAAGACTACAGGGCATCCGCTTGTACCTCAAGAGGTGATAACCTCTCTGCCTATACTAAATCGTTCTGCCACACTCGTGGCCAACGTCAAAACGCCCGGCATGAAGAGGTACTTGGGCAATCTCAACAATCTGAAGCGCGAATTTCTGGCACAGGGCCTGTCAACATTCGAGGTCGAGACACAAATCATGGAGAAGATCACGACAGCCTTCCTAGCGATCGCCAACCACACATCTTGCCAGAACGCGGATCAGCCTTACAAATGCGAAGGTCCGACAGCGGGCGTGGTTCTTGTGCAACATATGACCCTATTCAGTAGCATAAATATTTACAGCATGTTAGAGTCACATATTCATCATGGGATGTACAGCCCGCCTGCTCGGCACTTCGGATTTGCCTCAAACAACTGCACACTCTCAGAGGCCATGTTATCCTGCCCTTTCCTTATACAGAAACAAGAGCCCCACACTTCGGCCAAACTTTGTAAGGTCTGGAATCCTAAATCGGAAATGTATAAGACACCAAAAAATTGTACATGCGACACAGGCCATGTGGCCTTCGGTATTACAGACAGCCTGGTCGACATGGCGACGAAGGAGCCATACTTGCTGGAGCTGATGGTTGCACAGCGGCTTGGTGTATCAAGAGTACACTTTGACATGCGTGCGCATCACATGAAGGTTTCCCTAAATCCGCTCTAGTACGGGTCCTTCTAGTTGGGTTCCCATTTTAATACGGGTCCCTACATGAATATCCGCCATTTTGGGACTAGGAATTTAGACAAACTCCCACATTTTTTACATTTTTGTTGTATACTGAGTTTTGGGGAGTACGCCAGTCTAGCAGAGTTTAGCCTGCCCCCAGAACCACTAACGATGCTGGTGCGCAGACCTTTGCCCGTGCTTCGCCGTCCAGGGTGGAAACATGTCCATACTCTAATGTGATGCAACTTCTAGGATTACACAACCATGCTGTGTCCAGAACACCTTAGTTTTTGAAAACCATACTCAGAAAGTCTTCAATACTTCAATACTATACAATAGTACCCGTTTGTTTGGTAGTGAATCTTCAGTTCACCTGCTCATCTTCGAGGTCTGACTGGGTTTTTCGCGGCCAATTCTACGGCCACCCAGACGCTGACAAAGTTGCACGTGCAGCGCTGCAGCTTGGAGCGTTTGGAGCCTTTGTGGCCTCTTTTTGGTTAGTTGTAGTCAAGTTCAGAAGGTTGCCAGACAAGCCCTCCGCAATTTCTAGTGCGGTGCGGAGCCTGAAAAAAGCTATGAAACGCAAGTGTTGGCGGGGCTTCAGGCAAAGGCAGATGTCGTAGGCAGCCTGTTTGGAAGTATCGTACGTTGCAGGATAGTGCACTGGCCGCCATAGCACACCTTCTCAAAGTAGGAAGTTCTAAGTCAGGGATGCCTAAAGGTGCCTTTAACAAAGGTTACCCCTGGGTTTCGTAATAAAGCGACATAAGGAATCAAAGGTAACCCCTAGTAAAGGGCCCTTTAGGGATCCCTGGCTAAAGTGCAGTATGGATATTATGTTCTGACATTATGAGTACAGGCAGCCGCTCACGCGCATTGCGCTGTCCTCTCTCCGCCCAGAGATGGAGGAGCAATGATGGTCCATGGCACATTCAACTTCATCCCAAATTCTTGCATACAGTATCGCGGTGTGCACTACATATTGTGTGCTTGCTGGCATAACACAATCTCAGTCTGATTCGGCGCAAAATCTGAAGCCCTACACCCTGAACCGAATCCCTAATAAAACGTTCGACAGGACGCCCTGAGTCGGATTCGTTGGCCGAAGGAGCAGCTCTCTCTGGCTGCCACCAAGGTGGGACGGGAGAGGTTGCTACGATAGGCTTGAGGGTTTATATAGTTAGTTGGGTTCCTTATGAGGGTTCCCTTAACGTGTCTTTATTCCGGCATATTTGGGGCAGACACGAGACAGAGGGGAGGAGCGGAGGAGGGGAGGAGGATGGGTCCCTGGCAATCTGCGCAGTATCTACTGTAGGCTGGGACCCTATATCCTTAGGGTTCCTTAGGGTCTTTCTAAGGGCTCTAAGGTTCTTAGGGTGTTTAGGAGTTCTTAAGGATTTTAGGGTCCCAAGTATGGGCCCTTAATTTGGGGGCCCTATTATATATATATATATATTATATGTAAATAACACCCCTATTAATATACTGTACATAACAAGGACCCATAGTTCCAACTGCGATAAGCAAGTACGAATTTGTGGCAACATTCTTGGAATAATGTGCCATCGGATGCCCGACCTCTTACTTCTCGCAGTAAGCTACCTCTAGATGCCCCTACTCTCGGATATGAGCCATAATCTAAACTCCTAAGAGGGGGGTTTATAGGGGATCATATAGGGCTCTTAGCATAGGGCTATAAGGCGGGATATCTAGACTATAACTCATATGGAGTTTGCAGGTGTTGCATGAGATAATGGGTATTGTTCTAGTATGTTAAGCATTGCTTAACACTATGTGTATAGAGCATATACTGAGGTGCTTGAGGATGAACGAGCACACCCACCGCTGAAGGCGATGCTCCTGGAAGCGGAGGCAGCCGAAGCCAGCCAGTCGCCCGGCCTTGCTTCCAGCAATGCTCTCTCCATTTTTCGGCGCCGGAATCCTCAATCAAGCTGTACCATTTTTCCAGGTTTTTTTAGGCCAGCGAAGGTGCTCTTGCATTGTTTGCCAGGAGCCTGGGTCATGTCAGTCGGCTGAGGCATATTAGTTTTGTGTTGTGCTTCGAAACTCTTCACAGGTGCTGGTAGTCTTCTGTATTTGCGGGTTGTTTCAAATTATTGGTCTTTTTTTTGCAATTCTGTATAATAAGGATTGTACTAGTGTTGGGACCCAAAAAGGGACCATAAGTTAGATCAACCCCCATTTGACGCTTTATTGAGGGAGCCAACCTGCTGAACAGGCATTCAACCAATGGACAAACCCTTGGCCAATCCCTGCCAGGACCCTGACCGGTTTGTAAAGTTCTTCCCACGCGGCGCCGCGTCTGAGAGCTTCGGCCATCCATGGCTAGCGTATTATGAACTGCTGCACCTGTCAGCGGCTTCCAGTGTCAGAGGGCCTGGCACCATCACCTCTAAGAGGCCAGAGCTGTTGCAGTCATCTTGAATGCGAAAAAGTTTTGATGTAAATGGACACTGTCCCGTAGTCCTTCTTTGGGATTTGGGTTGTTTCTATCCAACGTTTCCTGGTTTCGCGAAGCAGTCTTGTACATCGTTCCGTTGGTCGCTTTGCGAGAAACCACATCGCCAGCGCTAGAAGCCGGTGTGGTCGGGGTGGTCAATGGATCAGGTGCTAACCCTAGTATACAGTCTTGAAATTGGTCTAGACTCCCCTATACTTCCTAAAGTAGATATGGGATGCCCGAATGCCACAACATGAAAGTTGATGATGTTAACTAGTGTTGATCCTTGGGTGTTTAATGCAATTCAGAAGCTTGCATCTACCGATGCGCTCAGGCACTGTGCATTGCCTGCTCAAGGACAACTTCTAGTTTCACTGCCAGATTCTATCCTGACAAACTACCGGTATAGGTTTGCTGTTAAATGCGGATAAAGACTGTAGCATGGGCAAAACACAGTACAAAATAGTATAGTATCACTAGTATGATGTGACAGTACAACATAGCGGAGTATATTGCACTACACAACAGCCTACTATGACCGACGACAGTCTAGCGTAGTAGTTTCATGTCGATGGAGTTGGCGCGGCATGATCCTGGAAGTCCAACACACTTCCATGCGAGTCCAACGCAAGCCAGAGTGCGCCAGCAAACATGTCAGGGACTCGAGAGGGCTTTGTGCTGCAGACTTCTTATCGCTATCTACGGCCTGGCGCTGCTAGCTGAATATGGGCTGGGGCTGGACGTTTTTCTTCCGCTGAGATGCCTGGCCACTTCCATGACTCAAGAGTCCCGGTGCCTTGTGCCTTGTTGTTCCTGTGGCTGCAAACTTGCGTAATTCGAGAAAATTCAACCCCCTCAACTTGGGTAGAGTCTTATTTGACGACAGTCAGATGCTGTTTTGAATGTTGGGGGTACCAAGATCCCGCGGCTGTGTTTCCGTGCAGATGCTGTTAGTCTGTCTGGGTCCTCATGCCGCAGGGACGTCATGCTGGCAGGATTTCGCAGAGATCAACCTACTCGAGAGCAGTGTAGTATATCGACCAAGCTGTGCTTGCAGCATGGCGTTCCTCATATAAGCAACAGAGCTAGTTGAAAGGCACGTGGTGTGCGCGCATGCGCCCGACGACGACCCCTCGGCACGAAATGCGCCCCCCAAGCGCCAAGACTCGGTCTTTTCGTGGTGCCCTTGGGGGATTCTTTGCACGTGCTTGGAAGCTCACGGTCCTACGCACCTTGCGGGTCTTGAGTCTTTTGCTGCTTGGGGTTTTGTGCTGGCATAAGTTCGAAAATGGAGAAGTTTGACTAGATGTTTGTCCAAACAGAGCCTTGGACAACGTCATGTGTCTTACAGCTATGGGAAGCCAAACTTGGAAACATGGGGGTTTCTCACTTGGCCAGCACTACAGCTGACATTCCAAATCCTGCATGACTCTAGGATACTAAACTACTATTATTCTTAGGCTTTCGCGTACTTGCGGTCATGCCGGATTTGTATCATCAACCGTAGCACTAGAACCTTTTGAAACCGCGAGCCTCTTACAACTGCACACGATCTTATGCTGGGTTTGCGAGGACGGGCACAAGCAGCCCCACAAGAAACGACACACGTTGCAGCCGGAGCAGAAAGAAGCCTTAGTAGAAACCGGCGCAAGGTTCATTCGCCATTCACGACTGTTTATGGCGCATAGCAGGCGATGCTTTCTGATGTCCCTATGGCTTCCCACAGAGATCGAGATGAACCACTATGGCATGCGAAGTCGTCAGGAGCTTGGGGTACACAGCATGCGGGCTTGGGGCGACTTGTAGCTGCATAGCTACTGATAGTCTGTGTCGAGGTGAAGGGGGCGCAGTATTGCACGGCAGGCAGACGTGCAATGAGCAGAAGAAGTGTCGCCTGGTGGTCAGTCATCAGCTAAGATCAAAAGCGCTCGCGTCAGTCCAAGAATCATCCTGTCAAAGGCTTGAGAAGTTTTTTTGTGCTTGCAACTCCGTTCCTCTTTGTCCCCATTTCCGTTCTGTGCGGTAAACCAGTGTGAGGCAGCTACATAGTTGAGCATAGTACGACATGTTTCAAGTCACAGCCATCCAGACAACGCGACAGATGAGTTTCAAAGCAGAACTTGTCCTGACGACATTGCTTCCTGGCACCACTTACACCGGAGTTGATGCTGCAAGTGTACTTCTGTTGCACATCTGTGTCTTGGTTGTCTGCAGCAGCAGGATACGTGCAACAAGAGCAGTTGGGGAAACAGTAGGAGGTCATGATTATGTTCTTGGCATGTCAACAGAACAGTACTGGCACAAGTGCTGGAGCACTTGAACTGCTGGACCTGGGTCAACTGAGTCGTGGTAGTGGTAGACCTAGGTATGTGCCTAAACTAGGGTCCCTTTTATACCCCTAATTACAAGGACATGTAATTATGATATGACCCCAAAAAAGGGACCCTAGTTTAGGCACATACCCACACAGGAAGCAGTGTATTTTTCGCAAACGGTGCAGTCACGAGGAGTTCGTCAATCGCCGTGCTTGGAGTCTTCGAAGGGATGCAAACCCGGTCAGCGAGTTCATGGAGCGAGAGGAGCGCCGCGCGTAAATTGTAGTATACTATAATAGGAAAAGGTTCAGTATAGTATACTGTACTAAGAAAACGTCCAGTATAGCACATTATCGTATGCTGTTTTAGCTGAAAGGGATGCGGGAGCATCCAGAACCAGTTCCAGTTGCTTCGGGCATTGCATGGTTCATGAAGCATCCGCACCAAGGCACGCAGACTGCACGATTTTTTGCAGTCGTAGGTTGAAGTAGTAATGGCACCATGTCAAGAACTGGCAGGACTGGTAGTTGTGTCTACTGCTGTGCAAGTGTTTGTATTTACTTAGCATGCATGCATGTTGTGGCTTCTTGTGGAGGACGACTGTCATTACACATGCTTCGTTTGGATGTCCAGACTTGTTGAGGTACAGTACTCGATTGCTTCAGATGTTTGCGGTTGCTGAGGGTTGTTTGGGGCTGCAAGAAAGGCTTCCAATGATGGGCGTGAACAAGCTTTGAGTTGCAAATTAAGCAGGACGAGTAGCCCTGTAAGGTCATGTAACGCTGAGGCAGGACAGGTTGAGCGAATATTCCATGGAGGAGGCTAAGGCAAGACATGTTTTGAAGACATATTCACAGTGGAGATTATGCACTCTGAATTCGAGACATCCGCCTGAACAACGTGAAATTTGTTGTTCCCTTTTAGGAATTTTCTTTGTTTCAGAAGTGTATAGCAGCAGATCAAGCTGGAAGTAGTCAAATCCTATCGTTGTGGCACTATAGTACGTCTTGAAGCATGGCTATTGGGAGACAGGGCTTTTGAACGTCAACCCTTGTGGTGCAGGAACGGGGCCATCTCAACTCGTGCCAAACACCCGGCCGCCACCTGCGCTTCGCCACGATCATGGATTCCATGAGGCCTTCTTCACACCATGCACAATACAAGGAATATTATCAAACTGTCTCATTGATCGTTGATGATTGCCTGCGCCTTTATGTTTGGAAAAAGTCCTGATACCAAGTGGTGCGGTTTTCTTCATAGTCTTCCTCGTTCTTCTTGTTCTTGCTCTTGTTGTTGTGGTTGTTGTGGTCGTTGTATCCCCGGCGTGCCAGTCTCACGACGACGATGACGACGACGTAGCACTTTGTAGCGTCTTGTCAAGCGGCAGTTCAGGGGCTAGCTGGGATTTTGGGCAGGACCATGTCGTGGTTGGAGAGGAAATGGCGCTTCCACAGCGCCGGAGAAGGGAGGCCCCACTTCATTACAGCCGTGCTGGAAGTGAATCTGGCAACAACAGAGGATGGTTATCTGCCACTTGCAGGAGACAGTCATGCCTGCTTGGAGAGTTGAGTGGCGTTCAGGTCTTTTTTGCCACAACTTTCTTTACTTTGCACTGGCCCAGGTGTCTACCCCGGTACCCGCTAATTACAAAAGTTGTGGTGCAGTAGGGCCAATAGCAGGACTGAAAGCAGCATGAGCAGCAGCATCAAAGCGATTACATGAACGTTCGCGCATTACATGAATCGCTTGTGTAAAACAGGTTGGAATGGATCGATTTCCATTCTGCTGCTGGGATGGACCACTTCGTCATCTACGATGCAAAGAACTTGACCTCCACCAAAAAGCTGCTGCAGCCCTACATTTCGCAGGGCATCGTTGTGGCTTGCCAGCCTTATCACTCCTCTTCCTTCTACTTCCTGCTGAAATCCCTGTTGTCTCTACAACACCAATGCCAACAACAAGAAAAACACATGCAAAATCACGCATAGCAACCATCACTGCCCAAGTCATCGCAAGCGCAGCTCCTTGAATGAAAAGTTGTGCTGCAGTTGTTTCTTTCTCAGTCTTCCGCAATGTTTAGCACTTCTGCTACTACACTACTGCGTTTTGCCACAACAGCTGCCTCGCTTACATCTTTGCTGCGCCAGTGTGATCGCTCTAGCACAGTCGTAGCAATTGGGCTATGATAAAGCTGCATGAACTTCAGAGCTATGATTCTTGGCACAGTTTTTGAACTTATCGTCGTTTGTACAAAATAAACTTCTCAAAGGACCTCATCCTATGATCACAACAGTCGAAGCCTGGCAGCTGCCATTTCTATTAGTACTGCAACAACAATAGCGACAACAACAGCAGCAGCGGAAACAGCACCAACACCACCACCACCACCACCAACAACAACAACAACAGCAACAGCAGCAACGACAGCAACAAATACTAACTAGTACCACCACTATCACTGTACTATACCATTGCTACTACCGCTACTGCAGTGCTGTCTTCGACGCGGAGTTTTCGGCCACATAGATCTGAGGACCTTTGGCCCTGTCGGGTGACTGCTACTGGTGCCTGCGTGGCGACAGAAAATCTGGTCCCTGGAGCCGGACAGCAACAGCGAGACCAGCGCATGTTTGCTGTGACCAGCCACTCCGCACTCAGCAGGAGGTTTTCATCTTTTTTTTGGCAGAAGTGCTGAGAGCTTCAAGATGGTGATGACACCTGCAGTGACGTCTTTTAGAGGGAGGGTTTCTAGGGCAGTCTACGTCTGCGTTTTAGTCTTCCGCCGCTCAGATCTGAGGCATCGCAAGGCCGTCTTGCAAGTGGGCAAAGCAATGGCTTGCTTTTTTTTGCATGTTTGAGACATGTACACGAGGCATATCACAGCACATCTCCATAAGCCATACTCTGCTGGAATCTGTACCTCAGCGAATCAGAGATTGACAGTCCCTAGGGTGTTATGCTAGAAGTGAATGCTTATCAAGCATATGCGGGCGCCAAGCGTGAGAAGCACCTCACTCCACCCTTGAAGTGTAGGCAGAATTCGACTTCATGGATTGCGCAGCTGGATCTGGATGAGTTCATGTTTCCGCGCCGAAGAGCATCATTGAGAGATGTGCTGCAGCTGGAGCCCGGGGCAAGAGGTTAAGCAAGCAGTAGCAGCACTACGAACAGAAGTGATAGTCATAGGTGTCATGCCAAATTTTATATCACTTGTGCAGAGACCATTCTTTGGGTTCTACTCTCTCGTGGCTTTTGTAGTAGGGTTTGCACCGTAGTAGCAGTGTGAATGACGGCGGGCAATTCAATTGTGATGGAGAGCCTGCTGGATCTTGACTGGCATCTGTGTCAACACAGCAGCAAGGACATGCAGGCAGATGATGTTCGCATGTTCTTCATTTGGCAGCTCGAACATGGCTCTGCAGGCCTGCAGCACATGCGGCTAGAGTATACAATCGTAAGTTGAAAGGAGTATTTTTCGTCGTATATTGTCTTTGCATACCGTAGTTGTTTACTGCAGTCTAGAAAAAGTACTCCGCCGTACAGAGGCCTAGACTGTCAACAGCAGAACTATCTTTGGGTCAGGGTTGTGTTTTTAGGTTTTTGTTAGGGTTTCAGCAGGTTTTGTGCTTTTTTAGTTGATGTTTGGTTTAGTTTGTTTTTTTGTTGAATGCTGTTGTTGTTTTAAAGCTTAATTTGGATAAAACGGGACCCCTTTAAGGGAACCGTAAAGAATCTGTGAGGAACCCTTGGATTTTTGTTGTGTCGGGAGCTTCGAGGCTGGAGCTCCAGGCCGCCCATGCGGCAGATCGAGGCCTACACTAGGCGGGGCTGTTCTTTCTACTGGGTCCCCAAAGAAAGAATTTGGGTGGTTCTTAGGGTCCTTGGAGCGTCTTAAGTGTTTCCTAGGGTTTCTCGGGGTACCTGAGAGGCTCGTTAGCATTCCTTAGAGTTTCTTTTGGTTTAAAGGAAGCTTCAGGGGCTTACATAAGGGTTCCCCAACAAAATATGCAGATCGTTTAGTAAACCTCCTTTAAGGGGTTCCTACTGAGGGATATAGGCGTAAGGCCCTTTCCATTGTTTCGATAAGGACAAAGGTGACACCAGGCGGACACAGCTCCAAAACTGTTTGCGTAGTATTCGGGGATGCCGTGAGTTTTTGTTGGGGCCTTTGTAATTGGTGTTTGGATGTTTTTGCTCAAGGGCTTCTAGGGGTCTTGGACGTTGTTACAGAATTTTCGGGCCTGTGGCGCAGTAATTGTTTCGTGTAGCTTATTGAAGTCTAGCAAACTATATTGTGTACGTGTATGTTGTAGTTCGCGAGATGGTAATAGCTACCGTACAGATAGATTGCCGTGAACTGCATCGTAGGCTCTGAGCATTCTGCAGTGTTGAGTAGCAGCTCTAGAACCCTATGGTCTAGCACAGAGACCCTTGTTTATTCCAACAGACAATTCGTGCACCGGTACCATACCACGTCTATACTTTCCAGCGCATGCTATCAAATGCATTATATTACATGCCCGTGTATGTGTGGATTTCCCTGACATGAATCGAATACGGGTCCCTGTATTTGGGTTCCTATTATAATACGGGTCCCTATATGAATTTCCCCCATATTGGGAAAAGCAATGTAGACAAACTCCCAGTTAGGTACTCGGAGATCCTGAGTGGCCAGTGGGGATGAAGACCTTGGCTTAGGTAACCTCCTAAAGCCTTAAACCCTAAACCACCCTAAACCTTAAATTCCCTTAAACTCCACAAGCCTAAACAGCCTGAGTTCTGAAGCGTGGACCCTATCATCCCAACCCTGAGAAAGCCCCCTTAAGCCCTAAGATGCTTGAGAGCTTGAGGTGTGCTTCACAGAGGGACTGGATCCTCGGCCGATCCAAGAAGAATTCGCATCTTGAAGGCTTCATCCTTTTCTTAAGAGGAGAAGCAGAGAGTACCATCCCTTGTAAGGTGTGGTACCTAGAAAAATGGTTCTCATAGCGCGTACTTTAACTTCTAAGATGGTACCTTGCAGTGTTCTCATAGCGCGGTGTCAGCTAGAGTCTTGGATACAAGGTGCTGTCTAGCATCATGCATTTCTGCCCTAGATGACTCTTGCATTATACAATGATACTCGTGTAGTGACCAGCTCTCCTCTGGTGATATTGGCTTGTTTAGTGAGAGGCGGGCTGCAAAGATGCCGAGTCTTGAAGGCTGCTGCAATTCAGTGGTTATTAGCATGATCCCTTGTGGAGGCAAGACCCTCACTCACGAACGCTTACCGTATTTTTCCGCATCAGATCTTATCTCTGCAAGACTTGTGATTTTCCATTTGGCCGAAGGCTTGAGACATGACCAGCATGCTGACAGGGTATCTAAGCCTATGATACGTACGCAAGCTCATCCACCATCTTGAAACAACCACGGCATAGGCTGCCAGACTTTGGTTTCCGACTGGTCTCCAAGGAACGGCAAGAGCATCGCCCGGGCGGACAGCATACCTTTGCACGGTGAAAACCGGTACACTGGGGATCCGCACCGCCTCCTTCCAGAGGGACCTGGGGAAACTAGACTGCAGCCAGGTGTTGCCATGTTGCTAACTTTGTACTGCGAACTTTGTTTCAGATGCTGTAATTAGCAAGAACTAGGAATCGCTTGTGGTATGGTGGCAGGATGATGGTGCACTAGTACACCAGAACAGTATCCTCTAGCACACCAATGTACAACAGGGCTTAGGCACCCTGCTGCCGGCGTCGTCCACAGCTTGATTAGGATTTGCTATAATAGCTACTATAATAGCAAGGTAGCAAATGGAGTGTTCATAAAACGTACATTCCAAGGTCTGCGCTGCACACATGGAGTTTGGAGGCGGCTGTTTTGCCGGGTTGTCGGGAAGAGAGCTTACACTTGCTACCGTCCTTGCTACAGCACTGCCGTTTTAGCCTAGGTCTCTGCGCACTGATTAAGCGCGACATTCTACCATGTAGTAGCCTGCAGAAGCATTATACGGTGTTGTACACAACATGCCATATTATCATACACAATGCCACAATGCAGGGTGCTGTATACACACATGCTACACGTTTACGAATGATACTTGCATTATGGGGCACCTACACAATTGATGGACATTCCCCACAGCATGCGCGCACGCACGTGAGACTTCGAAATTGACGACCTCTCCCAAAAAGAACTGCTTCATGCGCTTGCGCTTGTTTGGGGTCTACGCCAGCCTTCATCTTCTGAATATGTTCGGTTGTCAATACTGTATACACTCTGGCGCATGCTTGTACCTAAAGCCCAACATAGGTCACAAAGAGCGTAGTGCTTTGGAGGTCGGCTGGTGTGCATTGCCAACCCCGTGCTCCTATTCGACATTGTTTCCTGGTCGTCATTACGTTTAGGAGCTTGGGACATAAGGCTCCTTTTTTGGAGGGTTGAAGGGCATACGGTCTTAGTACCGAGAGTTGCTTGTGTTGTAAAGGCATGACGTGTCATATATGCTAATGCAAGAAGTCGAGCCCTTTCTTGCTTAAGCCCGCAAGGTCAGCATTTGTCTGTGCGTTGCAAGCGGCTTGGCGACCTTGAAGATGATTTCCGGGTTTCGGATTGAAGCTTAGAGGGATAGAGTACTATCCTTTTGTGTAGCATATCTCATCATGCATGGGATAGTGTTCGAGATAGTACATCGCTTATTACAATGGACTTTAATACGCAACAATTCTTTTCTGTCCTCTAATGTATGGGTTGTTTCAATTGGGGATTTCCCTAAAGTCATTATAGTACGGGTCCCAATACTGGGATTCTTATTATAATGCGGGGTCCCTATGTAAATTTCTCCGTGTTGGGAATAGGAATTTAAACAAACTCCCAGTTAGGTTTTTGGAGGATCCTCAAGCACCAAGGAACCCATTTAGACAAACTCCCTAGTTGACCCTAGAACTTAAGACAAACTGCCCCCTTTACTCTCCAACCTGCGAAAATGGAGCATATGTTAGAAAGGATAATCCCTAGCACTGTTGGCGGTTGAAAAGGCTTCCTTGACTGTTGGGTCTTCAAAATGAGAGGGTCCTTTTTGGGTACCCTAAATAGTAGGGGCCATAAAATAACAAGGACCCAATTTTAGGAACCATAGTTTAAGTAAGATTTAGGAACCACCTCCCAAATCTTGTGTTGCTTGCAAAACAGCTTAATGCGTCAGTTGCCTGCATATACTTTCTGAAGTTAAATTTCTACTAGGAGCTCATACTTGCTTGCTGGCTCAGAGCCTCTCTAAGGTTGAACTTCACGGGGTTCCATACCCCGAGCAAGTGATGCTTTTTTGTTTTTGTATGGTCCGCTTCCCTTATCTCGGCAAGATACCCAAAGCCCAGCAACATGTTGAAGAGTATGGTGAACGGTCTAACCTTGGATCCTAGTCTAAGGTGCGCTGCTGGTTCTGCTTTCTGCATACCTGCATCTGTTCCTATGGCGTCGTGTCGCGACTGCGGCTCCCGTGCAAAAAAGCAAATTAGTGAACCCCCTGTACTGTACTGCAGCGCTGTTGCAATTGTACTACAGTTTACTATGAGTACTATGGCATACAATTTCACGACGCCGTTGTTTAACAAGCTGATCGGTCATTTTCTTTGCAAACGCTTGCAATAAAGAAATATCATCATGTCATCACTGGGTTTGCAATAAGGGCAGGTTGCGCGGATCCCCCCAATCCCTCCGCTTCACAGAGCCGTCTGTGCTTGCAATGGAAAAACGTTATGTCATCAACGTATTAGCAGCAAGGGAAGGTGCGTGCGAATCGCTTTGCTTTACTGGGAGGAAGAGCGCATGCCATTGCCAGATGCGTATTAAGGAAAAATTGTGCTCATCATAGTATTTGCAAATCGCAGATTTGCGCCCCCCCCCCCAAATCCTGGAGCTATTTACAAGCCATCCACGCTTGCGATAGGAAATAGCATATTATTAATATATTTACAATAAGGAAAGGCGGGCGCGGAATATTTTCTTCATAATGAGAAAGATTAATTGATTAATTATATTTCCGTTATTAGATTATTGAAAATACCGCTTATAATAAATAGTCTTCATATCATCACTAGCTTTACGGGAAAATAGATGCGATTAAATACTAAAAATGAGATATCGTTATATATCAATTATATGTCTTATATACGTAATATGATTTGCAGATTTTATAGCAAATTTAGGGAAGTTGTTGCCGTTTTTTTATATAGAAGGCCGGATGAATTCAAAAATCGATTACTATAATAAGCTTTGTTCTCTTTCGCACGGAATTTATAAGTATTTTCGTTATTTGAAAACTTGAAATTCTAGATTATAAATCTGAAAAATGAATTCTTTATTCGTGATAGAATTATATATTATTTAAGAATATCATTTAGAATCTTGAGAATGATATGATATTTATTTCATTTTTCTATTGACTTTAAGAATATGAAAATGATATGATTTCGAATTTCTTGATATAATATAAAGAATAATTTTCATTTTTATTATATATATGATTTTTCTTTTTACTTATTTGGATTTAGAAATATTCTCATATAATATTCTTCATTAAAATTATAGTATTTGTTATTAGTTTGCTAATAAATTGAGGATGATAGCTAAATACGTATAGTCCCAGCATTCCGTGAGCTGGCGCGGACGGCGATCGGTGATGCTGGCAATGGAATAGGAGATTCGAAATGATAGGACGTTTTTCTGTCGATAGATTCATTTTCAAATAGAAATCTTTATAATTTTTCTTCTTTTTTTGAAATTATTAAAATTGGAGATTGTAAGCGCTAGATTTCGCCGTAATATGAAAATATTTTAAAGTTTTTTTAATGAATATATATATTTCATTTTAATGACTCTTTCTAGCATTTTCAATTTTATATTGATATATTATATATTAGAATTTCATTCTGATTATTTGAATATTTTATTTATCGATTTTAGATGAAGCGAGAAAAAAATCAGTCTGGATGATAAAAATTTTTGATATTAGATTCTAAGAAATAAATTAAATCTAAGGCAGAGCCCGCAGGATCTCACGCGTAGGATATGAGAATTCTGAATTTGGAGAAATGGGACCTGAAGCGAATAGATGATTGGAGATAAAGCATCCTATTTTCTCACTACTTTTTCTTTTTCGTTTAAGGGTCTGCTGCTGCTGCACTGTTGCTTCTCTTCTTTCGGCGTCTTTTCTAGTGATTCTTTTTTCCTCAAACGAGTGGCTGCAAGTTATATTCCCCATCAACAGCGGTGGCTTGGGATTACTACGGAAAAGGATCCGCTTGGAGATCAAGTTTTTGGAAGGGCTGATTTGGCTGACAGTGGTGGCCCCATTGGTTGAAGTTTTGGTTCCTCCCCGCTTGGATCATTTGAGAATAAGGCGGGGCCCCCCCGCGGTTCCAAGACTTACGAATATTTCCTACTCAGCAGTCCGAACTGAAAATCCGGACTTCAGATTTAAACAACAGAATTTGATGGAATTTGTGATATTTTTTTTCTAGGACTAGTGGTGATTTTTTTTCTCATCTCTAAAAAAAGTCTTCAAAGCATTTGCCGCTCCTTTGGCGGATGGGTGGGTTCCGAGTCCCGGTTTTCATACTTATTTATCTAACGCTGCATTTTACGATATTCTTTCCATGCGGCTTGGCAGACAACATTTTGAAGGCGGCATGGCATGCCACATTGTCCCAAACCTCAAAATGCGTTTGCACACCATATACTTGCGTGTTGTATGCCCAGGGGAAACTCAATGCTTCATCATAAGATTCGCAATGAATTTAACAAAACTCTGCAGGGGGGGGGAAACCTTCATGGCACATTGGAAACACTGATTCGCCGGGTCAGTGCCTTGTAGATGTTTGAATGATCCCTATAGCTGTCTGAAACAACTTTTGATTTGGCGCCAAGGGTTGCGCCTGGTCTTTCAATTGACTCGCTTTCCGATCGTCTAACTTGGGCCAGGGTATTTCCTGAGCCTTGGATGATAATTTGCACCGAAAGATTGCCGGCAAAAACACCGAAAAAACATATGAAGGCTTGGTTTTCCTAGCAAGGCAAAAGCAAAACTTTTTTTGGTTTTGTTTTAACCGAAATGGAAGAAACGAAATATTTTACTTGTAAAAAAAAAACATTGCGGTAATGGGGTTAAAAAAGGATTTTGATTTTCGCATGTCCTATCATTTTTTTCTGAATATCCAATCAAGAATATTTTCCATAGTGTCAATCGTTTTTGCCTTTAGAATTTGCGTTTCCATGCATTAGATAATGTCGTAAAAAACGCGATTCGGTAAGTTCCTTGCTGAATAAATAATCAACTTGACCAATTCAGTTGTGCTCGAAAAACAACAAAATTGTCAAGTCCCAACCAAGACATCTAGTCCTGTCTATTGTTGGGCATGCGGTAAAGCTGGCCATCAATAGTGTGATTGCTGGCAGAATCAGGGCCATGTGTAACAGGTTTCAGAGCCAAGTGCCGTTGCCCCGAGCCGGAGCGCGAGCCAGACTGCAAGCGCCCGGGAATACAGTGAGAGCGCAAATAACACGTACATAATTTTTGTAAATGATCGACACCAATTTTTTTCGTTTTGAAATAAATGCGCATATTTTTTTGACAAAACGTTACAACGTTTTTTTTTTTGAAGGAAATCAATTTGGTGAAGCCTTTTTTATTCTTGGAAATTTCAATGTTTCAGCAATGAATAACAATTTTTTTTGGAACTTTTTATTGTCAAATTTAAAATACGTCACGAACACCCGGAGAAAAACATGACCCCAGGCCGAGTTGTTTTGCAAACATTTGCGGGAGAATGACTTCCTGTGAGCATTCCAGCTTTCAAAGGAATCTTTGCGATCCCACAGGATAAAAATTTTTCGCGTGAATTTTTTGTTTGCTTTTTGAAACCAGCAAGGTTTCTCAAAACCCAAATCCATTCAAAAGTATTTTTCAATTGTGTATTTGGCATGAGCAAGCACAACAAGTATTCAACCTTATTGCTTGCATTCTTTGGCTATTTTTTTTAAGAATATTATTGCTTTCCAAATCAAAAATTTCTCTTTTTTTTCGCAATATCAAATTG